CCTGGTGCGGGCGGGCAAGGTGCCCGACGTGTCAGCCGAAACAGCCACGCTCAACTACAAAAAGGTGGGCTGCAGGAGGGGGCGGGCTGGCGCGCCAGTGCCAGCCTGCATCGACCCTTTAGACGAGGCAGCGTGTGCTGGCTGGCAGGCGGCGCGCAGCCGGGCTCACGCGCACACAGAGCGCCAGCAGGCGCGCGCCCCACACCCACACACCCCCGTGCCACGCGTGCAGGCGCTGGAGAAGGGTATCCTCAAGATCCTCTCCAAGATGGGCATCTCCCTGCTGTCGTGCTACCACGGCGCGCAGGTGGGGTGGGGCCTGCCGGCGGGGCGCCACGGGGGCCCGGCTGCGGCCAGCCAGCACACCAATTTCCAGCGCGGGCTGGGCGCGGCGAGCGCAGCAGGGCAGGGCAGCAGGCGCCTCTGTGCCAGGCCGCCTGCTGTCGCCGCTGTTTGTGCCCAGCCCCTCTCCCAACCTGCCGCCCTCTCCCTGCCGCCTCCTCCCTCACCCCCTCTCTCCTCGCTCCCCCTCCTCAACCTCCCTCCCCCTCACCAACCTGCCTCCCTCCTCCCTCCCTCCCCCTGCCCAGATCTTTGAGGCATACGGCCTCGGCCGCGAGGTGGTGGACACCGCGTTTGTGGGCAGCGTGTCGCGCATCGGCGGCATGTCGCTGGCAGACATCCAGCGGGAGACGGAGGCCTTCTGGGCCAAGGGCTTCCCCGACAAGGTGCGCTGGCGTGGCGCTGGCGTGGCGCTGATGTGGCGTGGGCGTGGGGTGTGGGCTGGTGCGCGGCCGTGTGCGGCGGCAGCGTGTGTGTGTGTGTGCATGAGCCGCGGGGCTGGGGAGGCAAGGGAGCACGCGTGGGGGGGCCCGGCCGCCGGTCCCCTGCCTGCTGCTGCCCTTGACTGGCTTGACTGGCGCCCCCCCTCCATGTGCCGCCGCCAGGCCCTCACCAAGCTGGACGACTACGGCTTCATCCAGAGCCGCCCCAAGGGCGAGTATCATGCCAACAACCAGGTGGGAGGAGGGGCCGGGGGTGGGGCTGTGTGTGTGTTGTGTGTGTGGAGGGGTGGAGGACGGGAGGACGGGCTGGGAGGCAGCCTGCTTGCTGCAGCCTGCCATGCCCGCCATGCCTGCCGCCCACCACATGCCCGACCCTCCACCGATGCTCTACCCACGTTCCACACCCTCCCCTGCCTCCCCTGCCCGCCCCGCCCGCCAGGCCATGTCCAAGCTCCTCCACAAGGCCATCGGGCTGGGAGGCAAGGGCTCTGCGGGGCAGGCCGCCTTTGACGCCTACACCCAGCACTTCAAGCAGGCGCCCGTGCACGTGCTGCGCGACATGCTGGAGCTGGACAGCGGGCTGCAGCCGGTGCCGATCGAGGAGGTGGAGTCGGCGGCAGGTGAGGCTAGGGGGGCTGTGAGCTAGCTCGCTATGGCTGTAGGCGGCGTGAGGCGGCGGGAGGGAGGTGGCGGGCAGCGAGGAGTGGAGGGGAAGGGAAAGGGCAGGGCCGCTTGCAGGCAGGCAGGGAGTCATCCCGGTGGTCATCCCGATGGCCCTCCACTCCCTCCTGCTCCTCGAGGCAGGCACTCAACCCCTAGACCTTGTGACCGCAAATCAACCACCCGCCCCTGCCCCTTCCCTTCTCCCTCCCTCCCTCCCTCCCTCCCTCCCTCCCAGACATCATGTCCCGCTTCTGCACCGGCGGCATGTCGCTGGGCGCCATCAGCCGCGAGACGCACGAAACCGGGGATCCTCAG